GCATTACTCTACGTTCGCTCGGTGTATAATTTTTATATTACGATACGTGACAGTCCCATTAGATGCTTATAACGGTGACCACACATTATATGTTTTACTTTTGAAGGAAAGTGATGTTATAACATTAAAGAATTTGTAATTACTACTACAATTTATATATTTTTAAGATATAATCAGTGTCTTAGATTTCTATAAAAACTGATTAGCTCACAATACCTTTAATCCACTTGAATTAGAAATAATTTAATTTAAATTAATTGCATGAATATACTATACCTTAAATATATAGTATACAGTCCGTTTTAAAAATATATATATGTTTACAAGTTATCGAAGTACAAATTAAATAAGTTAACAGAAAATGTATTTATTTACTATGTAATACAATTCATCATTTTTCTATTATCCATTGTGCGATGAAATATGATAATATTATTTACACGTACTATTATGTGTCATATATACTATATTGTGTCAATTTTCACGTAACTCGATACTTCCTGTAAAACTAAAATGTATGGATACACTAAAGCTGTGTGTGTGTGCGTAGAAAGAAATGAGGTTATCTCAATGCGCTGTCATTGTTTGCGAATTGTGATATCTACGTAGTTGAAAAAGGAATAGTAAGTATTCTGATACAATTTTTATTATGGGTGACTCATAGTAAAAGAAACAGGGACAGTGTTAACGGCAACTAAGCTGTAGAGAAAATTTTACCTAGTTTTAAGAGATGCCAAAATATTTTTCAAGAAAAGAATGGGGTCTTAAATGAGTTTCATCTAATTAAGAGCTAAAATGGTGTATTTAATTTAAAAGAAAATTTAAATCTGATTCAGGTCAATTTTCAAATATCTCTCATATAGAAACAACGGTACCTCTCTTGAAACTAGTCGGTAGTGATTGATGTTCTATAGGTATAGCAAACCGTATAGGAGCTCAAGGAGACGCTTTTCATTTTGTCTATGGTAGGAGTAACCTAATTTAATGAATTTGTTTGACAGAGTCTGGTTGATTATAAAAAAAATATATTTTTGAGACGATAACGGTATTGACGTAGCATTCGGATTCTAAATTTAAAAAAGCTGGTCGTGCTGGTCTCATCTTGTATACCCTACCTACTGTTATTTATACTGGTAACCTGACCAGTATTTTGAATATGGAACCTGGATGAGTGTACTTTCGAATATATTTTTATGAAAGTCTCTATACCTCTTTGCTCTTCACACACGAGCGCGCTCCGTTTGTTGACATAGGTCAGTGTCGGTACTTTATTACGCTTTTTATTCTATCCCACGCACACATGCACGTGTATCGATGTGTGAGTTATATGTGTGTGTGTGAAGGAATGCGATTACTCAGTGGTAGTATTTTCGTAGTATTTTTAGGTCTAAAGTTTTAATCAGCATTTTTCTTACTGGGGAATAACATGTTTATCAGATAACTGCTAGTATTCTATATTAAAACGCCCCAAGAAAATGATGCTTTCGACTCAATATCTAATTTACTGCAAGTTAAAATATAATTTAAAAAATATACAGCACCTAAATATCGCCATGGTTCAATTATTAAGCTAATTGCTTTATCCTGTTCGATTCAAAGTTTAGAGCCTATAAAGCAAAATTTTTATCTATTTATTTATATATTTAAATATTTAGAAAAACAAATAAAATAACACAAAATAATTATTCAATCACTTACAATGGTAACAACATGTGGCTGGAGCCTCCATTTAAGTATGTATAATATACTTGTGTTTGGAGTATCCGCCTTCCTAGGTACATTAATTAGGTATGTAAGTTTAGACAAAAGGGAATAATATTACAAAACAAAACAATATTTATATATTTAAATATTTAGAAAAACAAATAAAATAACACATAAAAATTATGCAACGGGCGGCATTATCGCTAACGAGCGATCTCTTCCAGAAAACCCTAGTAAGTAAAAAATAAATATGCTGGGTATTGTGCAAGAAGTGCATAACCAAATCAACCAAATCTTACAAAAAAAATTTAGAATCGCCAACCTTAATCTACAATCATACAAAAAATTAATAAAATAAACTAAAATGCCAATCTTACGGATTCATGACTTGCGATTATTAGTTGATAAAGGAAAAGTGTCTGCCCCATGGCCTATTCAAGTTACATGATGTTTCTGTTCAAATATGGTTTCCATAAATAATGAAAATCTTCGAAAAAAACAGGTCTTCTTAATTTGGATACTTGGCAAAAAATAATTAGGTATAATTTATTTAGGCTTTTGAATTAATTGCTAAATACATGCATTCGTGATGACGATTCGCTTTTTTAACGAATCGTCAAGTATAGATCCCATGTGAAAGTCAAACAGAAAATTCTAATGAAGCGCAAATTGATGTTAACATAAAGAACTCCATCTTAAATTGCTACAATTCCAATTAAAGTTACTTAAAAATTAATTATTTTATACCACAATTTATCTATAAAAAACGCATAACCCTTCACCATATACGAAATGCAGTAAGTGACTATTTTTGTTTGGGAAAAGCATCTTTATAAGTATCAACTTAAAGTGGCTAATTGCATGCTAAAGTTTTGTTATAGGAAGTTACCTCGTGGGCGGTAGATGTAGATTGTTATCTTTTGAGAGGGCATGATATATCTTTCTCGCTCGATAGCCTACATTCCATGAGTATCCTATAATCATTGATTTTGTTTTTATCTAGTTACACTGATATATGTCATATTTATGTTATAGATACAAAGTATTGCTGTATTGGTTGTAGATAAATAAATTTCTAACATCAACTTGAATATTTTTAGATTTTAGTTCGTTAAAAGGAATGACAATATACTTGCTTAGTCATAGACAATACATATTTTTAAAATGACAAAGAAAAAAAATATTTATCAATGGTTCTTAGCGTACATCGTGCGATGTACAGAAATATGTATATAGAAAATTAACCAAAGAATAAAACAATTTTAAAGTAAATAAGAATAAAGATAAGAATACCAATATTATATTAAAACATTATCTAACGTGTTATATAAATAAAAGTTATACAGCCAAGGCCTAAGTGCAGGAAATAAACATGTTTTTATGTTTTTATAATATTATCGACACTTATGTTTTATGCATTTCCTTGAATTGTTTGCGTATTATTAAAATTCTAATTTTAAATCTTAGGACTAAACCACAGAGCAGTTTCGCCTAGATCCCTGAGATCGTAGGTTCGAACATCAGCTGAACACGAATGGACTTTTCTGTCTATGTGCGTATTGCACTTGCTCGTGAAGGAAATCATCATACCTGCCTTAGACCCAAAAAGTCGACGGCGTGTGTCAGACAAAGGCTAATCACCTACTTGCCTATTATAAATAAGAAATACCACGAAACAGATACAGAAATTTTCATGTACCACAAATTAAGAAAAAGGAAAAGCCAAAAGAATTTTCTTTCTATTAGAAATCAGCTACGTTTATCACAAATGGCTGAATAAAGTGCCTTAAGAAAAATCAATGAAATAGTCCCAAAAAAGATCAAACCTTAAACCCTAAGGATCTTTTTAAGCATTTTTCTCTATGAATATTGGTAATTAAAAGCGCTCACGACAATAGTAGACCACTCAATGGGTTGTTACTGTTGGACCATAGTAATGTTGGGAATTAATAAGTAAAAGTAAATGATTATTTTTAAGTCATTTCGCTTATTGTATTCATATTACGTATTGTTTACGAAAGTCCAAGGTTTGAGATATGGATGAGTAATGTACTGCCTTGAACTGGCATAAAAACTCATTTTTATATTAAAGATATTGCGATTCTTGTTATTTATTTTTATTATCAGTAATATAAAGATACTTGCTAGTGCCCGTGAATCCGTTTTCATTACGACAAAAATATGCACAATTGGTACAAACCAAATACGTTTTAGTATTCTCTCGAAGGGCCACTTGACACACATTTATTTTCAACTACTACGATTCGTAGCTATAAGGACTAGTATTTCTTGAACCAGGGCGTAAAATACTGAACAAGATAATTACATTTAATCATATTTATTATCCGACTTCAAAAAGTGATTCAGTTTGATCTATATTGTTGGAATTTAATGATAATGATGTAATGTAAATCTATTTGGGCTTTCCGTGTGCTAAATTTAGTATGTGTATATGTTTGTTCATAAATTTCTCAAAATTACTTAATAGTTATTCCACGCATTTCTAGAGGGATATAATATCTATGTATTATTAATGTTACGTTCACAGGTATTGATTTCGGTTTAATATCTTTCTAAATTTCTGTTTGTTGCTCAATTACTCTAATTATCGGTCTACACTTAGAGGCTTACCAGGAAGTCAGAAGGTACATCGATGTATATTTTCTATATTCAAGGATCCTCCAACTACAAATAAAACGCTAAAACTTGTATCAATATATTTGCGTGTTGTTCCCACGAGAATGTAAGTGCGTGCTCCTATTTTAGAGGACAAATCTTTGTTTTTAATTTATTTTCGTATTATGTCATGTGGAACATGGTGTAATGGTTGCAGCTCCATACAAACATTGTCTAAAAAACTTAGCGATTAAAAAGAATGATATTTATTTCTTGACGTTCATAAGTGTACATTTTGTTACCTATATAAATAAATTTGAATTTTAAATCTCAAACAAAAACCTTGAAAAAATACAGAAAAAACATAATTATAACAATCACATCAGTTTATCACACCATAACGTAAGTCAAACTAATTGTTTAACACCGTAGTAATTAGCTATTTCTACACCCCTTTTATTAAAAAATTGTCGGTGTGACGGGAAGTGATAAGTAGCTAATTGACACTTTCACACCTGTGCGTTTGGCAAATCAGTCTTTTGAAACATATTGTTTAAATTACTTTATTGTTAGTTCTGTAACCTCCCAATATGACCATAATTGTATGATTCATTGAAACTGTTAACCGTGGGCGAGGATTTGAAACCCAGCTTTTTTTAAACTAAAGTTTAATAAGTCCC